AATGATCCTCAGTGTCCTGAGCTCTTCAATTACAACCTCTCACATTCGCCCATTAAATTCAACCTGTTTATCTGCTCCTTCAAAGGCTCTGCACAGCTCTGGCTCCATCTGTCCCTGGTTCTTTATGAGAGTGTCTTTGCAGGGTGTCTGGGTGCCTTTGCCCTCTTACTGATTGGCTATTTAAGCCGCATATCTCTCCTCACCCATCTCCCTATCTCCATCTGTCTGGCATCTCTTTGCCCAAAAATTGCTTCATCAGGCTTTCATTTTCACTTTCAGGAACTTTTCCCTTAAACTCTTTTCTTTTGTGAAATACTAATAAGCAGGCTCTCATCCACTTAAAAATGTGTTTTCTGAAGGACGGCCCCTCCCCTCCCAGTGCAAGAGTTACCATTCAACCTGCCACCCTGTGTAGCCTGTCAAGTGGAGGGTTTTGTTTGCCTTCATTAGCCTGTAAACTCATTTTGGGTGGGGCTGTTTTCTGCCCTTTGTTCTCTGCTGTGTTGAATGTGCTGACAGCGCTGAACTCTCGATTATTAATAGCACAAACAAAGCTTAAAAAGGGATGGATCAAAGGAAGGAGAAAGGGAAGGCAGAGGGAATATGAGGTTTTGTTTGAAGCAGCAAGGAAGCTTCAGGATAAATATATCCTGTTGGGATGTGTTGAACACCTGTTAGAAAGAGGTTGTGGATAAGATTGTTGAACAATCTGAATGAAGGCAGTCTCTGCATCTCCCTAAAAGGCTCGCAAAAAAATCCATTCAGGGTAACAAGTTAACACTTTGCATAAATTAATTTGAAAAGAGGGGCACAACCAGTAAATGAGTGAAACATGGAAAACAGGGAAGAGACAAATAGAAGGCAGGAAAAGCATCAATGACCCTTTACCATAGGATTTACCTGGATCTGGACATTTAAGCTTGTTTGCATGTGTCCCCTATGGATCTGGGAGGGACAGGACCTCCAAGAAACTGTGTAAAGAATTCAGTGCTAGGACACTTCAGACCTGACACCCTCAGGAAGTCCTGAGGCAGATTTCCATCATCATCTGCAATGTATGCCACACTACTCCAAATCTGTTGCTGGCTGTACTATCATTGTCAAACCAGATGTCAGTGGTGTGGTAAGAGAAGAGCATGAGGTCTATTATTGCTGCTTTTCCCATCAAAATCATGTTTACCACTGAAGAAATAAAAGACCTAGACTGTGCTGGGAGCATCAGTGGCAGGAATATGTTTGTTGTCTGCCCCTGTGTGTGAGAATTGAAAGTTAAGGAAATACTACTTGGCCATTATCCAGTCTTTGGACAACCATCAATATCCATATGGAATGTATCAATTGATTCCAGAAAGTAGAGTATAAGATCTTCTTGAGTTAAACTGTCTGGTCATGAAGAACAGTGTCATCTCACAGTAACATGAATAACAATGGAGTGTCTGTCTTCCTGCTATTCAAGTATCCCAGTGACCATATTTTGTGTTGGCTTCTAAAGATGGACATGGATGAAAGACCACATGGGAAAAAGTGGTTGCACTCACCTCAGCATCCAGGGAGTGTGCACCTGTGTGGATCAGATGTGCCGCCTGTGCGCTTCCACCCCGGTGTCTCTAATGTTATTTGTACTATTGGGACATACAGTGCATGGCATGACACATGGATCAAGAAGGGATGGGGGGCTTCCTCCAGGAAAAGGGGGAGTTAGATAGTTCACAGGCCTGATAGAAGCAATCAGAGAGTGCACCTGTCATCACAGAAGCTGTGTCAGGCAGCAAGAGGGTTGCTTTGTAAGGGAAAAAAAGCAATTTGGGGAAGTGCTGTAGTACACATATCAATCTGTCTATTTGCTATTATTATTATGAGAATTTATTAAAATTTTTAGTTTAAACTTCCTGACTTTTTATTTTTGTGAAGAATCACATAATCGGTAGATTGTCTAACTGGGTGAGTTGTACAAACACAGACATCCCAGCCATTGTTATACAGGGAAGGCAAATGTTAATAGAAGCAAAAGATGCAATCGGCAAGGACAAGTGGTGAGCAAGGACAAGCGGCAGGCAAGTCCCCCAGACTCCAGTACCTGTGAGAGCACAAGACAGGGGTGAGCAGGGGTTGCCTGGCCACTCTCACTTCCCTCACAGGAGTTCACTGACCCACCAGTCCAGGCAAAAGCATCCAGGCCTTGCTTCACCTACAGCACATGATAAAAGCAACCCAGAACTGAAGGACTGTTTTGCCCCTAGCTGTTGAGGGGAATATTTGGAAGATGTTTTTCCAGCTGAATCTGCCTGTTGGTGTTGACTACAATTACATTTCAGATGCTGATTTTGTTATACTGGTCAGAATTTTCATCTCAGTATTTTCTAGAAAAAAAAACCCTCACCTTGATTTTATTTGCTTGAAAATATTTTGCTCTGAAATAAGCTTCAATTTGATAGTTAAAAATGTGTTAAGGAACGATTCGTAGTATCAGATGATTCATGTGGCTCAAAATGAAAACCCTCACCTTGATTTTATTTGCTTGAAAATATTTTGCTCTGAAATAAGCTTCAATTTGATAGTTAAAAATGTGTTAAGGAATGATTCGTAGTATCAGATGATTCATGTGGCTCAAAATGAGTTATTTTCTGTAAGATTTTTTTAGATAGAAAAAAATTACAGATTATTTAAAATAATGACATGTTCTCCTCTGGTCAGAAGTTGACGTGTGTTAACAAGATTTTACTTACACCCACACTGTCAAGTGGCTATATTAGTACTAATGTTAATGTGAAGCCTAGGTTTAAATTATATTACCATTTCAATAACCAAACTCATATTCAGGGCACAGATACATCTGAGTAAAAGACTTTTGTGTCTAGATAAGAAGAGTTTAAAGACAGTCTGGCTCCCAGGCTAACTGAAAAGACGATGAGCTCCCAAAAGGCTGGGGAGGGAGTGCACAGCAGAGAGGAATTGAAGGAGAGAGACATAGAGAGGGAGTGAGGGAGACGGAGGGAGGATGTGTGCATTAGGGAAATTGCCAATAGGGTGGTTGGAAAAAGATTAATTACAGCAGTAGCAGCATAGCAAAGACAAAAGAACTGACTATGCCTGATGGGCTTCTAAGGTGAATTCATGAAAAAGAATGAGATCAAATACCAAGTTCGTTAAAGCACAGTGGTCGCAATCTGTGCTACTCAGTTGACATCAGTGGTATTACTCCAGGTTTACACCACTTGCAGTGAGAGGAATTTATCTCTGATTCTCTGACTTGTACCTAATATGTTGCAATCTTTCAGTCTGATACCCATCTGGGTCTGAGGTGCCTCTTTGCCAAATGGTGCAGTTCTCTCAGTTGTTAACGGCTGAGGATCAACTTCTGAAGAGGATGAGATTGTTTTAGTGACATTTGGCTCTGTGTTTAATTTCATCCTATCGAAAGATGGATGCCTCCCCAGTTCTAGTGAATTAGATTTAAGGATTTGTCCATACGTGCTAAACACTCACCTGTAGTTTCCCAAACATGTGTTCCTGGAGAACATCTGTGGAAATGTTGAGGGCCTGGTGTAATTAAGAGAATGGCAAGTACCCTGATCAGTGAGCTGCATGCCAAGTGGGTTTCATGAAGTTAAATGAAAAAGGACCTCAGAGTTCAGACAATGGCTGCTCTTCTAATTAACAGTATCTGTGATATTGCACTGCACCTTCAGCTTACATGGATGCCTACAGTTTACCAGACCATCCATCCTTCATTCACACAACTGATTAATGATTCTTTTGCATATGGGTTTCAAGTTTGAGGAATTTCTTTTCCTGGTGATAATTTTCTTTATCTGTGCTGTCAGTGAGGAAGTGCTGCTTTGCCCAGGGCAGAACCTGGTAAGAGAGGAGGCAGGACTGCGGATGGCTGCTTACACCATCCACACACATTACTGGAGTCCTGAGGAACACTCTACCTGGTACTGCAGCAGCCCCTGAAACTGACTGTCAGTAAGGCCCAGGCCTTCCCTCCAGAGACACCCTGGGATGAAGGTGGGGGGAGAAGAGACTACAGATATGGTGATGTTGACTCTGGGCTCTGGGTTTCCACACACTGGAGTTTAGGATTGTTGCATCTCTATCTGGGGTCAGTTGCTATGTATAGAGCGGTCATGGCATGCTTTGAGCACCCACAACTCCTCCACATTGGACCTTCCAAAGGGAACAGGATATTTAAGCACAAGAACATTTCCCCAGAATGCCACCCTACCTTCAAAGACCAAGTAGTCAGGTTGCATCTTCTGAAGAGCGTATACAATGTTTTCAGACCATTCCCTTCTCCCTAGGGCTTATGTGTTCTGCAAGTTTCCAGTCTCTGTGCAAGTCTGAATTTTATCTGCAAGCACATAACTTTGCTTGAAATCCACCAGAGGCCAAACCCTGCTCTCAGACAGTGTCAGGCACGTCTGTGGGCATCTGCAGGAGGTCAAAGTGAAGATCCAGTTCTGCCCAAAGGGGCTGATGAAAAGTCAGAGACTAAAAGATGAGGTTGTTTCTCTCTTATTCCTTAAGACACAAAGAGTTATTTATTTAAAAGACTGGCTTAGCTTTACTGTAATTAGTTTCACAATGGGTGCCTGGATGTTCCAGCCCCAACCAGGGACCTCTTGTTCTAGGCGCTAATCTTGCCACTGTGACCTTTGGCTCATTTAATACCTGGGTGTATCTGCTGATGTCCCTTTTTTTCTTTTCTTTTTTTTTTTTTTACCAGATAAATTTACATTTCATAGTCCATTCACATGTGCTAACCTAGTTATGAGCCAGTTTCACTCTTCATGAACTTCCTGCCTACAGGCATTTTTTGTAAATTGCTGTAATACGATAACTGAAAATCCTTTTTACTATCTTGAAACAGGAAATAAACATCCTGTTGTGAGAAGAGAATTAGAATTGTGCATGATGCTTCTTTTGTAATTTACTCAGTCTTGATAACATATATTATGTAGGAGAGACTTCTAGGGCATTAAACCAAAGATGACCAGTCATAAATCAACCTCAAGGAGAGAGTATGCTGAATCCCTGTTGCATAGCACTTAGATCATTCTTGTTCAGCTCGAGTGTTGGTAATCTTTTGTCTTTGAGAATGATGAGGAATTAGTGAGATTAGAAAATATTTAGAAATTCAATAGAACTTCTGGGTCTGCATTTTGTTGATTTTCAAATGAAAGTTCAAATAATTTGTACTTTCTGTCACCTACTACTTAATATTTGGAAGATATTTCCTGAAACATCAGAAATGTCAGCCTGCAGAGCATACCTAGGGTAGTGAGCTGGAGATTGCCTTTTTTTGGAGCAGTGGGCAGCAAACTCTTTGGTATCAGAGATCTTGAGGTATGTATTCTCCTTGTCATCCTTATATCCCCCAAACAATATAAGTAAAGTTCCTCTTCTCAGTCCTCCTAAATCTGTTTTTGTTTTTCTCTGTTGGAATTATTGATATATAACTTTTTTTCGTCAGGAGAATATTTTGCCTTTGCTTTCACTTAATCTAGGGTTTTGTTGTTTTGTTTTCTTTGGTTGGTTGGTTTTAACCTTTCTTTTTAATTGCATATGTTAAGGTATTGCTGGAAGTCTTATGAAGATGTTCTTATTTTAGGTGTCAATAGGAATTTTAAAGAATTGCTTCTGGTTTTATACCTCTTACACTTCTAGTCAGTGATGAATTTCATTTAAAAAGGAAAGAGCCAGCCACATTACTATAATTTCTGAAAAGTGTGTTGATGATGATTTGTGACAGAGGAATTGTTACGGTGTCTCTCAGTTAGATAACATCAGAGAAATTAGGCTAATGTTGGTATTTGGATTTCTACTGTCATTACTGAGAAATCTTTGGACCAAAACATTAGGGCAGATATTCTTTGCATAATATTCCTTTATGAGTAATGCTACACAATTATTTTTGAAATTGGAGTTCTTTGCTATACTAATCATAATATTATGAGAGAAATAATTCCAGTTTGGCATACATTTATAAACACTGTTGAAATGTTTAAGTGCTTGCAGCAGCTGTAGGACTGAATTTTTGGACCCTTTCTTTCTGTGCATGTGTCATGTTTCTCTGATTTGGGTAGTTTAACAGAAGTAGTTTTCAGATGAACGAGAAATAAGTGCAAGACAGTGCACTTATGCACGGTAATATTTGAACCTGGAGATGGGATTATTGGTCTGCCTTTATTCTGATGCTGCTGGTCAGACTGGATCAGAGTTGTTTAAACCTGGGGTTTTTTTGAGCCTTGGTAGGGTCCTTCAGCTGAACACTGAGTCATCTTTTTTTTCTTCCCCTCCACCCCCTCCCCCCCCCAGTTCTAAGAATACAGTTTAAGTATTTTATCCAGGCACATTTTCTGGGAAGTGGCTGGTGGTTAAAGGATATGTCTGTGAATCAGATATATGTGGCTCTAATCTGACGTCTACTTTTGAGTCATTCAGCTTCATCTACCCTGATGGGTGCAGGTAATCACGTCTCCTTCACCCACACTCTGAGGTGGCCACTTGTGGGCCAGCACTGGAGCAGCTGCATTATTGTGGTGCTAAACCCAAACAACTATATCCTGCCTCTTATATTACAAGTTCGTAACCAAAGTTCTGATTACACAAGTCACACGGTGAAATGTTAATCTCTCCAAAACCTGCAAGACACATTCCACATAGTTCATGGAGCAGGAGCTCTGGGAACGCTTCATAGGAGGAAAGTAGTGATGACATATCTCCCTACTCTGTCACTAAAGGGAACAGGTCTGGGCATTTGTCTGGTTACCAAGGCAACCAAGCAATATTCACTTTATCAACCTTTGATGATTTGGTTATTGCCACAGCTGGGAACTTGGATTACTCGGAAGTCCCCTTGGCTGTAGGGTCTTGCTGCTGATCATGAGTGCAAAGCACACTTGAACTGATCAAGAACCACAGCTGTGCCACTTTGAGATTATTACCTTGGACTTGTGCCTGCAGAGCTCCTGGACTGGAGTTGATTCCTGTCCGTCAGAAGGCAAGCAAAACAGATGTACGACTGTCAGCACTTGTAGGTCCCTCAGATGTAAAATCAGGGAAGCTACCAACCTTTTTCTTCCAGCGCTTGCTTGTAAAAGAAGTTTCTTACACATTAGGAAGCTGTGATTCCTAGTCTTTATTTGCTTAATCTGTGCTTTAACATATTGTTAATTCGTTTTCAGAAATGACTGCAACTTCAACGTGCTGGCATCTTTCAAAGTGGTTAAGGAAGAAATCTCTCTGTCTTGAAGAGTTTTCTGATAAGGCCCTAGTTTTGCATCTTAAAACAAGTGGGCATGCCCTAATGCCTCTCTGGAATGTCAGACTTGTTCTTCCCTGTATATTTTTGGCATTTTAAATGACAAAGTATTGTCAGTAGAAGTTTGTTTTGCTCTTTGTATAAGGGTATGGATGAATACTCCCTTTAAGTTCAGTGGGGTTGAGGTTTTGTTTGTATAGTTGTGAGCCTCTGGAGAGTTTCTGCAGCTTAATTAGTATTCATAGTGCTATTCTAGAAGTGTAAATTAGTTTTGATATTTTATTTTATTATAAATGATGCTGCCTTGTTTCAGATTTATTAGTTGCAGCTACTTACACAGTGACCATTTTCATCTCCACAATAAGCTTGCTCTGGTTTTCCTTTTGCAGTGTGGAAGATGGTGAGATCAGTCATACTTTGGAAATCCCTGTACTTTCTTCATATGTCTAGATAGGCCAAGGGTGGAGCTTTCTCTCTTACTCTGAACTCTGAATTCGTGCTATTTCAATTTCACTTTTGCATCTTTTTTGCAGTTGTTAGAACCTTGTCATCTTCAGCTGTCACCCTCCTTGCTAGTGGGGTGTACTCTCATACATTCTACATCAGCTTTTGTAGCTTTAATGATGAGAAAGAAACGACACCTTTTGTTATAACTATAGATACTAGCAGGACAAAATGCTGGTTTCTTTCAGTGGAAGTATACAGCACTCACAGTCATTCAGTAAGCTGACTATGTAAAGAATCAGCCTTATTTCATGAAAATAGTTAGTGCTATGTCTCAGCCATGTGGATGAGTGAGACAATGTTAATTCCAAGAATACAGGGAAATATGTACTTGGATACAATGGACTTGTGTATGAAGCCAAGTTTCCAAAGGCTTTACATGAAGAAAGGTAAAGACAGGTCCTTAATCCTACTTTCAGTTTAATGGACACAAAACCATATATGTTGCCTTCCAAAGGGTCAGTTTCATATAACAGAGAACTGCTATGAGTCCCTAAACTAGGGGAATAAATGTGTAAACAGGAAAATGAGAAAGGGAGCATATAGCAAGCACCAGAAGTTGAAAGTAAAAGTGGTAGAAAATTCAGCAGGGAAGAAGATGATATGCGTAGAAATCCCTAAACAGAACAAAAGAAAATTTATAGTATTTCACAGGATTTCAGGTATAAAACCTCTCCTAGATATGGTATTAATCCATTTATTAACTGGTAGAATTCTCGATAATAACGAAGAAAGGGCAGAAATGTTCAATCAATACTTCTATTCAGTATTTGGGGAAAAGCCAGATGATTCAGGACAGAATGATGATGGAATGCTTTTCATTCTAGCAGTAACTAAGGGAATGTGTTAAACAGCAGATATTAAAGTTAGATACATTAAAATTAGTGGATCTGGATAATTTACATCCAAGATTTTAAGATCGATAGTCAAGGAGCACTACAAGCCATTAATTTTGATTTTTAACAAGCCATAGAGCATTGGGGATGTTCCAGAGGACTACAAGAAAGCTAATGTTGTACCAATATTTAAAAAAGGTAAATGCAGTGACCCAAGTAATTATAGGCCTGTCAGCTTGCCTTCGATCCCAGGCAAAATAATGGAATGGCTGATAGGGTTGCTTGAGTAATAAGGAATTAAAAGAAGGTGATATAATTAAAGACAATCAGGATGATTCTGATGAAACTAACTTGCTATAATTTAAAAGCAGTTTTCAAATGGAGTGATTTACAGTTTTGATGCAATAGATTTAGCAGCCTGTGAGATATTTGTACAGTTTGACATTTTGATTATTCAAATAGAGGCTAGCTCTGCAAACAGTGGTTTAAGAGAGAAGTTAGGAGGAGTTTAGGAATCTGAATCTAAAATGGCAATCCTGAAAGCTCAGCTCGGTGACTGCCCAGAACTGCCTTAATATCCTTGGTTTTCAGCTGGAGAAGTTTCCAAGGCAACTGAGGTTCTGCTTTTGTGCACTCCCAGAAGACACCTCAATCCTGACAGGGTTGAGCAGTTCAGTATCAATGTCATAACTATACATTTGTCTGCCTGTTTCCCGTACAGAGCTTGATCCAAGGAATGTGCTTGTGGCACACTTCAAGGATCAGTCTGTGCACAAAATGCAAAAGCAGATGCAGCCTTTCTTTAATACATGACCACAGTAAAAGGTCTTTTATTCAATTACTCAGTGGTTAGAGCTTGTCCAGGTTAGAAAAACTCAAAGTAGAACTCTTTCCTCTCTTGAAAATGTATCAAATCTACTTATCTCCCTGGATCTCACCAATTATTGGTGTATGGTGATGATGGAGAAAGAAGGGGCTGAATACACATTAACAGGAGCAACAATCACGCTGAAGTCAAGTTATAATCACAACAGTGCTCTCATCATGAAGTGAAATGAACCTCAAGTATAAATTCTGCAAAGAAAAGCTATGTCAAGAAGAAGAGTAGGGAATATCATGTGACTGCTCCAAAATTATCCTAAGGGTGCAAATAGGGATAGTAAGTTTATCCAAGGTCCACACACAGTCAATACAGACCCCTTCAGAGGACAATTTTTCCTATCCTAAGACAAGTATCCAAGATCTTTGGGATGAATTCCTCTGTTCAGGTGCTTCCATCACTGGGCAGGTAGGTTAGATTACATCCATAGTAAAAGTCAGGAAAAAGAAGTTCCACCATAAGTACATACATTTTGATCAGAGAAAGCTCTTGAGTTCAGCAAATGTTGTTCAATTAGTGATAAAATTAAGCAAGAAATAAAACACCAGCTTTTACCAGTGAAGGTCACTTATAGTTGTTTATCAAAAACTATATTTTTTTTTACATTACAAATAGTAGGAGAAATATATGTGTGTAAATATATATATATATATGTTTCTCCTTAAGTCTATTCTTTTGTCAGTCACAGCTGCTGAAACAGGAATTAATTCTGGGAGCTCCCAGGACTTGTCTTGTATAAGGGGTCATGTCCAGATGATCACTGTGGTTCCCTCCAGTCTTAAAAGATCCAGCAAAAAGCACTGAGGACAAACAAACTGAAAACCCAAGCCCATGCAGTAAGAAGCTTTCCCTGCCCAGGAAA